AACTTTGCCAAAGATTCCCTCATGAATTGACCACCGGTGACAAGAATGCGACACGAGTTTTGACTATAATTTGTTTTCCTACTCCACGCGTACGCACTGATTGAGCAAAGCCGCTACTGCAGTTGAGAAGTACAGGTTCCATGACAACCATACCCTGAATGCGCGGGGTGGATCGAAACAGAAGAGTGAACAAATTCACCACAACTTCATGCTTCGTCTCTTTTAGAGCATTCTCAAGTTAACCACTGGAGACACCTACCTCGTTATAGCTACGAAGTCAGTAAAGCCTAGTGTCATCAACGGCAGAGACTCGCGGCGAAATCTCCATCAACTATCCTTAAAGGACGAATTCACGATGAAAAAGCAACCCATTTCAAATTAACCTAGGGATGGTGAGTGGTACACGAAAGAAGGAAGAACCATGAGAAACGGCCCAGAACCCGAGAAATGGGACCCCTTCCTTGCCCGTTGATTTGAGCATTGATGCGACTCTCATCGCTAGTCTTTGTCCTAAGCTTGCTTCGAGCAAATGTCTATGCATTGAGTGGTGTCTCAATTCTCGGTGAGAAAAACTGCAACGCACCCGCATGAAACCCGAAACCAAACATGCCGTCATAAATGATGTCGAGGTTGCATTTGCAGACTTTTGACGGGAAATCAGCTGACAGCTGCGCCATTGCAGAATGAATGAAGTGTTGCAGCAACCTCCTTTTGATTTCTGTTGTTAAACTGTAAAGTTTCTGGCTACTGCTTCTGTGAGGTGAGGTCCTGGCTCATAAAAGCTCAGAGGAATAACTGTGATTTCCTCCACATCCCCTCACATTTGAACGATAAGTGGGAATATTTCCCTGGTCAAGTATACTATTGTTGGCGCTATACAGGTGGGGTGGGCACGCCCAGCTTTTCACGCATACATTTCGGTTCATGGTTTTTGTTGAACATAGAATTTTCTGTAATAGAAAAGGGTTCGAAGTAAAAAGAGGGCCTTAGTACTTTTGGAAAAGGTCTTAGGTTGCACTGCTTACGACAACTAATGGCCACACGCGCAAGTGCTCCAAATCGCAATTTTTTGTGGAAGTACGCTTTCTTCCCATATGTACGTACTAGGAGGGGTGAGGACATGTAGGTGCAGGGTGCCGAAGGCAATCCAAGGGATAAATATTGTTGTTTAGGTGTACAGTCAGGCAAGAGGATCCGTGTTGTGTAGACCTTCAAGAAATAATAATGAAGAAGCAAAGAAGAAATAAGAAAGAAAGAGGAAAATAAGAGAAAACCTTCTGCACGAGAAAATTTGTTCGCCGTCTCCGGATACCTCCCCAATCCTAAATTTCGCATCTCCTGGCCAACTGCTTTCCCATCATCCCACGCGAATTGCTGCAACAAGATTGAAGTATAGCATAGTGGAGCTCGTAACGTTTTCTATTTTCAGACTACTTCTTGTGCTAAATGTCCCTAAATGTCCCTCTTAGGTAAACAGTGACACAAGGCTCAAGTTGTAGTTGGAGACGGAGGGGGGGGGGGTGAACGGTGAGAGAGGTACACCTAAACATTCAAAGCAAATGTGAAGCATCCTCTTTTTCCTACTCTCCTATTCTCTTCCTTTTCAAGCCTTAACCTCTTAGAAGAAAATGAGATTCCTGCCGAAATATTGCGCCGTGGTGTCTTCCCCTCCCTGGCCCAATCTTGCCCCCCTGCAAAAAGCTTTCACAGGGTTCTGCTTCAGTAGCACCATTCTGTTTGCCATCCTGGGCAGTGTCCTTTAATACTATGCATTCTTCAGCGATTTTTTTATGGTGTTCTTTTTTCTTGTCAATTTGAAGATCGTTACCGAAATGGTTCTACGTGTAGCTGACCGCGGTAGAAACACACCGCTTGCCTGTTCAGGGATGGGTAACTCTTTAGATCGTCTTGTTGGGTATGAGGATGTACCGTCAGAATCAGATACAAACGTCTCAGAAGGTCGTAAAAGACGAAAACAGGCACCAATGAAAGTCCACCGATGAAAATCGCGAAGCTCGACACGGCAAAATATGTTTATGAACGACTATTTTTGCAGGTTGGTGGATATTGCTATCTTTGTCGTTTGCTTTGCAATGACTTTTACTTAAAGAAAAATGATATCCTTCTCAGTTCTACCGAAGCGTTTACCAAGCTACTAGCGAACCAAGCAGACGCGCTTAGGTGAAGCGTTTTCTGAACATCTATTTTCTATTGTGAGGCCTATGAAACAAAAATATGAAGTTTTTTTTTCCTTGAGTAGCCTCAGGAAACTTCGTTAAAAAATGATGTTTTTTATGAAATGCAGCTGCAACAATTTCAATGTATCCTGTGACATTTAGCATTGGCGTCTCAAAAGTTTTTTTTATTCTGTCAAAAGGTTCAGATTAACACATTCACAAATATCCAAAGTTTTGCAAAATTTTGTTACCGTGGAACATTAAAACATGCTTAGCTTTGCCGTGTTTTACAAGAGGCTGGGTTATGAACAAAACTTCCACACCAGGCGAGACTAAAACCCCCAATCTCTCTTACCGGGCAAGTGCGGTGCAAGTTACGCTTTTTAAGCGTTCTTTTCTTGTTGAATCCGTTGCCTGCCAGGGTGCCGATCTGCAAATTTGTTTTTGCTTCCTTCCTTTCGCAAATAGTAATTGTGTGGAATGGTCTTCTAACGCACAGAAATCTACACATATATACTAGTCGTATGGGTTTAACTACTTGGGATGGTAAGAAAAGCCGATTTTTCGAAAGCTCCAGAACTTTCGCTTATTGATCGATACCTAGAATCTGCTACGTGATAGACTATCGCTGTCGATCATACTTCTCCGCAGTAGGTATATATAGCCGGGTTGCCTTCTTTAACTTTAATCATGATGTGATTCCACAAGAACACTTTCGAGCGATCATCTTCAATGAATGCGCTGCGGCACAGGAGCAGTGGGAACCGTCAACATTATCAGCATCGCATTGGGAAGGGTCACCACTTCCATCATCAGTGCCAAGCTCTGGTTCGCAGGCTTCGAAGGAGGAGACACGGCTTCCAAAGACAAGACAAGGTTGGGAAGCCCCCAAACAGTGGAAGACTCCACCGTTCTCGGCGCTGTCGAAGAGGATCCGGAGTTAGCACCCGCAGCCTTGTGATAAGACTCGGGTGCACCCATCCCACAGTCCTCGGTCCCCTTCACGACCTCGCCACAGGAAAGTGGTGACTCGATGGATTCCTCATGTCTTGACCGATAGCACGCGGTTCAGGCGGGTACCCATTTGTCAGTTTCTCCTTCTTTGTCCGCACCGAAAGGAGTTTTTGGAAGGCATGATTACGAGAGATGAGAGTTGGGTCCTCTACGATTCTAACAAGCACAGTGCCGTGTGGCTCCCTCGAGGAGAAGACCGCCGACAAGCGCAAATCGATACCTTCGCCCCTTTGCTGCCTGATGGGATTCGCGAGAATGTGTATTATGAGCTGCTCCCGCAAGGGCATACCGTTACCGGCAGCATTTACGCCAGTCAGCTCCAGAAACTAGCGGACGCTGTTCGAGAAAAACGACCGAGACGAACTTCTGCCCACCTACTCCACGATGACCAGGCCTCCACATATGCTACGTACGACCGAATAGGAAATTGGGGAGGCTGGTCTGGGACGCGGTTCCCCACCCACCCTATTCCTATCCCTCTGACATTGCCCTCTCTGATTATCACTTATTTCATTCCTCAAGGCATTCCTAGCGAAGAAAAAATTCACCAAAGTTGAAGACGTTGAAAGAGCGGTCAGCGATTTCTTTTGGACTCTCAGTCTGCTCAGTTCTTAGAGGGGGTCGCTGACCTGCCCATTAAGTGGGATTCGGTAGTGAGGAAAAGTGGTGATTATATTGTTGGTAAGATTCATTAGTAGCGCGGGCATAGAAAGTGAAGCTAAAAAGAGTGTCAAAGCGGTCAGGACTCTAGCCGAATCGCTAAACATGAACCGAGTTTATTAGTGATGAGGGCAACCGATAGAAACAGCAAACATTTTTCGAGTGCGTGTAACACGGGATAACAGCAAACATTCTCGAGTCGTGAAAAGAGGTGGGAGCTCCCATCGATGATGATTTCATCTCACGGTTAAAAATAGGAAGATTTTAAGGTAGAGCTGTACAGCTTTCCACGTGCGGTGACACTGGTCACAGTTTAATTGAGTTGCTTGGTGCTGTTCTAATTGAGCGGATATAGGGAGAAGGATCTGACGTTACCGTGCACGCCGTCGGCCATGTCTGGCACCTTCACAAGTTGTATTTGAAGCAGTGCAAGTTTTTCGAGGTACATTATAATCGTTTTTGTAACAGCTTATGTGGTTCGTTTCCCACTGCCATGTATCAATTTTCGTCAGGTTTTGATGCAAGGGAACTGGAAAGATTCCAAAGAGGACGACATCTACTTGGATTTTCCCGATGAAAATGTCACTCGCGAAGGTTGGTTATTATTCCTTCCGAATTAAACACTTCTTTGTTGAATGTATTTCTTCTTGGATCATGAAACAAATTTTTGGTAAGTAGGCGAAATGTGGATTTTGCGGCTATTGTGCCCATTTCATGTTTTCCCAGTTGCATCAAATTTTTCTAGTTCATTCGTAAGTTTTGTAAATTTCGCGAGTCCGCAGGTAGTAAATTTGAACTTATTGCAGCTTGAGAAAAAATTATATACATTCGAAGCAAGTCTTAATGTCTGTTAATAATTGAAAGTTAGAAATCAACTTTCGTGAACATTTGAATCAAAGTTACCTCTTTCCAGGACTTCACGCAGTTTTGGGATCTCTTTATCATAACCAGATTGAACTGGATTTAGATAAAGCCGAGGGAGTCCTCTCCGCCGCATCTGTGCTCCAGTTGGTTAGTAGGCTTTTGTGAACTTTATGATAGGTGGTGTTGTTTTTTTTTGGACTTTTGAATATTTGTTTGGTCTACTACGGGAAATCAGTATCTCTAAGCCTTTTGTTGATTGTCATGTCGTTCATATGTTAAATATTATTTTTAATCGATTAGAAACTTGCTCTTTCGCGCTGGTTTTATATTTGTTTAGCCAAATGAAATCCCTAGGTCAGTGGGCACATTCACTTGTGCCTGCTACTAGATCACTTCAAAGTCGGACTGAAGGCTCAAAATTCGCCAACCGAAGTAGTATTGCATTTGCAAAGGGTAAACTACCAGTCTAAATGCTCAGCTGATTTCTACGAGGCCCTGAAGGATAATGCAAGGGAGCGAGGAAAAGATGCCGGCAGCCGATTTGAAAGGAGACTTCAGCCGAACTAATCGCAAAATTACTCTATGATACTTGCGCTTAAAGTTGGTTATTGAATTCATAATTCGCTACTTGAAACTTATGGTGAAAAAACGGCATCAGGTATTGCTGTACCTTTATCATTCATATTGCGTGAACTATAAATGTTTTCATGGAAAGTTGCGGAATGTTCCCAGCACTAGCTGCAATAACTCCTCTAAACAACTATTTGTTCTTTTGAGATTGAAAATTTGCTTTTTGAGTTTTAATTTATCCTACATTCACTTTTTTCTGAGCTCTTTTTGGCTCCGACAATACAACAGCACGGAGGAGATTCAACATAGATTCATGCATATAAAACCAAGCCGCAGTCATACTTTGCGAACTCGCAAGTAGG